TGTAAATAAGGAAAATATTGAGAATAATTCAGAGGAAATGGAAATTAGGTCAATTTATAAAATCAATAGTTCAACGAAGAAGAAACTTTCCAAACTTTTGGATGGGAGTGTACAACATTTTCCCGAATAACGCCAAAAGGTATCTGAAGACCTAAATTCGCCTAAATAACATAAAAGATTGGGGTGTGATTGGGTTATATAGGGTACCCAAAAAGTGAGTCGAGAATGGTATCAGTTTCGTAACTCATATATCTCAAATCTGAATGTGACAAATTAGCATGATAAATACGACAAAAATCGTATTTTTCATGATGCCATGGATCTCAAATAATCTCAGATATTTCTTTTTTTATAAATTATTGTACTTTTGCTGCTCTCGGGTTATTGTCAGGTGTAAAATAAGACAATTGTAATTGAATATAATGTGCCCAATGATGTCACACAGAGTATCACAGATTATGACACCATATAAACCGATTTAAACAGAAAAGAGGATACAAAGATTGAACAAATAAACGAAAAGGCCAGGTGGAGTGTTCTGCCAACCAGAGTAAACACGGGGGGAAAGTCTACCCGCGTATATACAACCTACCGCCGAGTAAGACACGCATATACCGCCAATCCAATATTTGGTAAACTACATCTCATAGGAAAATGGACAATAAAGGTAATATTGGGTGGGCCACTATCAATTCCCTTGGATGGTTAGAATCTGAGGCCCGGGTATACTGTCATTAATAAAAAACCAGTCTTAAGCTTATAAAAATCAGTCTTATTCTTAAATATGTAAGTTTATCATATACAATAATAAAGTATACTTTTAATTCACACTTTAAGCCCTAGGTTGAATATGATATACATGTATACACAACGCATTAACAACTCAATATACTAGCGGACTTTTTAAACATATTTCTAACGTATTCCTGGGCCTTAGGTTAGAATCGTTACTAGGATGTTCTAGCAGGCGGGATTGGCCTAGAATTATAGTTGAAATATATTTTTATGTCCAAATTAAGAGATAAGTAAAACGTAAAATGGTTTTCGGTTTGTTTTCCCATTCATATTCGCTTTAATTGATAACGAGACATACACAAGACATACCTTTATTAGAAGGGTTCCTCGTTATTAATACTATTGTAACATTTTGACCCAGACTGACACAACAGAAATTAGGCTATCAACACTGGAGGATAGGAATAGCGCGAAATTGCATTTAAATCAATTATTATCCATATTTATGGATAAAAATGAATATGTTTCAAGTTCCTAATCTCTACTGGTCAATCTTTTTTCATTTTAGTAGCCGTTCTTCTGATATCTTATCTTATTCAAAATTGAGAGTGAATGAGCATAACGGGTCTTTTAACTTTGCACATCTTAGACCAATCAAAATATATAACTTTTTTTTCATATGTTTACCGTCTTGGTAGATACAAAATAACACGTACCAAAGTCTTTTGATTGTGAGCATAGTCAGATAGAAGTGATGATATCATCCACAATGGAAATTATCGTGATTCGAGTGAAAGCATGAATTCAATGTTTTAAAGAACTTTGCGGGACACAGACGTTGACGTATAGTGCTGCGGGAATTATATCATATTAACAGAAATTTTTGTGATATACTTCATGTTATCATATGATCATCCGAAAGCTTACTTACTACCTCATCGGGTTTTACTCGAGGTATAATCGGAATACTCAGGCGGTAGCATCGGGTCCTATAGAATCGTACTCGTGGTATAATCGGGTCTTTCATTTTCAACTTTCACCGGTGATTTCAATGATATGCAACGTATGGCAGTGAAACAAATGTGATATATTTGAACCTATTGTATCTTTGAATCAAATTGAGTAAATACAGCCATGGTTCTTACTTATTTAAGATGTAAAACACCATTCTAATATTTAGAAGTTGAATTTAGCGATTTAATAGTAAATATTGCATAAAGTACTCATTATTCTGCAAACATGAGTGCCTGGAACAACAACTATATCTGTTACAAACAATTCTGTGTTTTATCTATTTCTCATATTGAGAAATTCAATATATAAACAGGAGTTTATTAACTTAATTATCCCCTACATTTCAGACATCTTCGGGTCTTTGCTCGGCGGTAGGTTGTATATACGCGGGTAGACTTTCCCCCATGGTAAAGGCTTGCATTTGAATATTGATACACATAATAGTATTTTGTTTGAATTTGGAAAGTGTGTCAGGCATCTAATAAATAGTTGCCATGGACACAATACTTTAGAATAAGGTGAGTTATAAACTTTTGGCTCTCAAATATTTGTTGGTCTACTTTATTTCTGGCAAAAAGTATTACATGGCTTTAAATATTATTATATGAAATGGAGAAATGGAGTTGCGAACGTTCTTTGAAAAATAAAGCAACAAAACAAAACCAGCAGAACTTATTGAACATCCTGTAAAGTACTCATCGCTGAATAACTCCTCCCCAGTGTCGGTCATGAAATATTTATGAATAATGGGATTCCATTTCAGATTCTGAACTCTCGTACATTATCAACGTTCACACATTCAGCTGGTCGAACATGACTATCGCGCGATAATGACCAAGTCGGAATTTGATAAGTAACGTGGCGTTCCTTTGGTGTTCCCCAGCAACATGCTTAAAGCCCATCAGGTACCTTAGTGGGAGATTAGACAACTCTTATAACGTTAGATTAATGAAGTAGGTTGGTATGATAGCTCTCGAAGGAAAGCTAGATCCTATTCTTGCTCACGGGAGTTATTTTTTCTAATTATTCAAATTGACTAACGACAGACTGCACTCTAATTTTCAAGCAACGAATTATCTTTGAATAATTCCTCTTTGTATTCGTATGCGTTATATTATGTTTTGTCCCCACGTGGTTATTGTTTATCAATAATTTCTATACATGTGCAGTCAACTCTACAGGATGGGGTAGAATAGTAATTATAATGATTGGATTGTTCTGCCAATATAGCAGGGTGCTTTTACAATTGCTAACATTGTTATTGTTTATCCATTGTAATATCGGTATTGTTCAATCAAATATTAAGTAAAGGTTCGTTCGGCATGTTTTTTGATATCAATGCCGGGGGATTTATACCTGTTTTGGAATGGCTCAATCAATATGTTAAATAACATTTCAGCTAGTTTAATCTTCACTTCGAGAATACCTGTCTGTTTCTTCCCAGAACTTTTTTAACTTTCGGAAGAACAAGGACCATGACCATATTTTGAAAGATATTTAACAAAATGGGAACCGTCTTCACCCTAGAAAAGGGCTAGAAAGGTTGAAACAACTCAAAAGAAATTGACGATTATCAATATCTTTGCAATTAAATGCATTAAGCTTTTGATTAATTTCATTGTATTGCAGAAACAAAGATATGGGACATATAATATGAAATATGTGAATGAAATTAATCCAAACATATTTAGCTTGTCTGTCGCAATATTTACAGAGCATGCTACATAGGAAAAGGTTCATATCTTAAGGAATCGTTACTTTCAAGAACTTGTTCGGGGAACTAATTGCATAAAAACAACGATGACACAAACTGAGACATTCAACACAACTTATAGTTGGCCCCTAGTACAAAACTGATAGAACAATTATTTGTGTAATAGCTGGAAGTTATAGCTCCATTTCCAATTTTTTAATTGAAACTGGGGCTCAAATCACTGGCATATATTTTAGCCATCATAATTTGCTAGATCTATTTTGACGTATATCCATGTCATTCGAATAATTGCTGTAATGTTCCTCGCACTTCTTTAATACTCTAATTTCAATCTCCAGAAACATTGATCGCTGTTTTGCGGCAGGATTGCGAGAATAACAACTAAGTCGGGCTTTGCAGGCACCTCAATCAAAGGGCAAAAGAAATCCATTAGGCGCAATTAAGATAGCATTCGTTGTTTCTTCGTACACAATAGATTACTAGCATTCTTGCAAACTAACATAAAAGAATCGAATTCTTTATATTCAATAATATCACAATCTTAAACAATTCAAGGATACTAGGAAATAATCATTGGAAAAAATGTTCATTGACGTCTTCCACATAGACATACTTATAATTCATTTTTTATAAGTATCCCGATGGAAAATTATCTTCAAGTGCATTTGCTTAAATGTAACATGTTAAACCTGTCCTATTGGTAGAATTGTTAAATTACAGTACTTGTTTTGAACTCTTACACCTATTAAAATAGAAATACATCTATGAGTTGTTTGATTTGGATTTTAATCTCCAAAAAGGAAGAAATAAAGATGCTACAATTTACAATGCAATAAGATACTTATTTTAAGTACAATAAAACTACTGTATTTGGAGGTAGAACAATAGTAGTAGTTGAACAATTCATATGTTTTTGATGTGCATGACTTCCGGTGCTTTGCAGAACTCGTTGTTTTTGTTGACTTATGTATAAAATGCAATATTTTGCAAGATTCAAACAATATTTTGAAGGACTTAACAATGTTTTGCAGGACTTTACAATGTTTTGCAGGACTTGACAATGTTTTGCAGGATTTGACTAAGTTTTGTAGGACTTGACAATGTTTTGCAGTACTTAACGATGTTTTGCGAAAACTTGAAAATGTTTTGCAGGACTTAACAATGTTTTGCAAGACTTGACAATGTTTTGAAGGACCTAATAGCATTTTTCAGGAATTTCGAAAATAAACTACGATTTCACAAGAAGTACATTTTAATTTAGAGGCAACATTATGATACTATATAATATACGAAAATGGCATTGTTTTTTTTAAAATAAATTTGGACAGAAATTAAAGTTAAAAGAAAAAGGATAAATGTTGCCGCCTCATATATCCAACGGTGATTCATTAGCTGGACACATTCTTTGTTAAAATATAAATCTTATGTCGATTCTGCAACTTTCTTTATTGAGCATTACATTATAACAAAAGACAATCGAGTCTCCGAGAAACGCATTACCTGTAAGCGCTGTCTGTAGATAACTCATTAGGTCTCCTCTCGATTCACCCGGCTTACCGACTTCCGTTCAACAGGAGAGCACTTAAAGAGCAAATACAAACATCACATCTAGGGGAAAATATGGCACTACCACAAACTCTTCGATTCAGGCAACTTGACACGGAAATACATTAATCAATTTCTGCCAATAGGGGCAACTATTCTATGAATAACGCGATATCATTCCGCGTAACACGCTGAATAACACTAGTAGGGATTCACTTCGATGTTATCCATTGGGAACTCGTATTATTAGCACTGGTAGTTTTGGTTTCTTTTACACTGGCATCGATGGATTGTGAAAACTAGCATGTCGATTAAGGGATATCCTCTTAAGGAACCGTTGACTGTCTTCTTATAATATACGACGTCTAATACACCAGCCTTTGGAGTTGGACTGTGCGCTCAATCTGGACTTAAATCTTATCGGACTGTGATACTCAGCAAAACAGAAGGTGAGAAATCTATAAATCTGACACATTCCTTATTTTCAAAACGAATATAATATATCGTGGTAACATATTTACTTAATATACACATACGCTTGATTATAATCGATGATGAATCTATGTTTTAGCTGGTATATTGAGCATAATATATGAAATGCAGCATGTTATAATATCAATGATAATGCAATTATTTCATACAGTGAAATCAGAATTTGCAAATTAAGTGTAATCAACCGTGCGATAATCTATCGATTGTTTTTTGATCGCTTCCTTAATTACAATTTGTTTTTAAGATTCTGTTAACGATCCGCAATGCCTTAGCTTTTCTTAGCATAGTTTTTAATAGGTTTCGTTCATTTCCAGTTGAATGAATGGTGTCCTCTTATAAGTCATGTAATTCAGTATCTAATGGGTTAGTATAGTTAGTATGAATATATCATATAATGTTATACCATCAATTTATTACACCCATTTAAGAAAGGAGATATGTTGGGAACCAGAATGATTGCATAGGTTTACTTTTACACATATGGCATTGGAAGGAAAATTAGTAACTGTTATAAACCATTCTTACCCATTAGTAATACGGTTTGCCATACCTTTAATTGACACGCGCGCGACAAATCAGAAATATATGTTTACAATTCAAATTCTCATTTTTTCTTGTACATTTGTTTTGCAGGGTATCTTTCTGTTTAAAGGGAATATTCAAATCCAGTTGGTCTAGTTTTGTATTTTAACTCTAAATCGGATAAATCACGAAAACCAAAATCGAAATGCCTTGGGCCTTTAAATCCATATTTGACGAAATGTTTGATAGCAACGTCATTCTTGTCGAGGGGCTTGCAATGTATGCGCTATCACCGTTGCCCAGTTGATAAGAACAGACTTATATCGATATTGCAGATTGATTTGTGTCAGATGCAAAATTGTATTATAAATATTACGAATTAGTAATAGATTATAATAGAAGTTGATATTAACTGCCAATGATCGATCAAACAAGAGAAATTCAAGCTTGACAACGCCAGTCTTGATGGATTTGATGAAAATTTTATTGACTCATTCAAAGTTTTTATTAGATAACAATTGGTAGCCTGTGATACATGATTAATGTAAAATAGTCAAGCGTTCTGTAAAACAATACATCACACTAATACACAATAATTGTTCGGTAAAACAATGCATCATACTTATAAACAAAAATTGTTCTGTAAAACGATGCATTATACTAATATACAATAATTGCCTTCTTCGATGTTTGATGTTATTCAGTATCTTAAGATGCCACGAATCACTTAGTGTATACGTAAATTCGGAAGATATTATAGACACCTGAGCTGACTAGATAGAGATAGCATAAACAAAATGGTATTTAGTTCCAGATGCCGCTTCCTTTCATATATTAGCTCTTATTTACGGGATATTTGATTACATATACTGCAAACAAGACAATGACAATATCATGCCTTACTCTATTGATCTCCTTAAGCCTTTGTTATTAATATTTATTTATTCAAATTGATAAAATCACCAAGAGCATTATCGGAAAATACTGAAAGCCTTTTGCATGATTGTTGGGAGGTTGGGGCCAGACTGTGATAAAAGATAAATTAAATGTGTAGTTTAGGGCTAATGGTTATTGGTAAGGATATATTGAGCTACTAAAGTTAAAATTTTGCTATTAGTTTCAGATGAAAGCTCTCTATCGCCATATTTTAATGTAGTTAGCATTTCTTCCTGGTTTTTAATGATCGCTTTAGTTGGAGCGAGCTCAATTATGTCAGAAAACAATTTTCTTCTTTTATCGTGAGCCTAATGACAGTTGTAAAGAAATATTTAACAGCCAGAGACTTACAATAAATGTGAAGTTCTGAAGTATGATCAACGGCTTTTAGTATTGGTAGTCGTTACAATTTTGTATTTTATAAAATGAGAAATCATCTGCATGTCCTTGCTTGTGGACATCCTATCATTTAAACAAAATATCGAACTGTGGTGTCATAAATCTTAGAAAACGTGACCTTCTTTTTCCAATATTCTCACACATCAAAGGCACACATCTTTTCCCCTGTGAATTTTGAATTCTAAAAAAGAAACTGTAAGATCAAAGGCACACATCTTTTCCCCTGTGAATTTTGAATTCTAAAAAAGAAACTGTAAGATCAAAGGCACACATCTTTTCCCATGTGAATTTTGAATTCTAAAAAAGAAACTGTAAGATCAAAGGCACACATCTTTTCCCCTGTGAATTTTGAATTCTAAAAAAGAAACTGTAAGTTCCCAGCAATCAAAACCAGCTCAGGTTTTAATCAACAGTTTGGATTTTTATGGCTTCGACAAGATTACGACACATAGAAGCAGGTAATAAATGAGAGAGTAATATTCCAAGAAAAAACGATAGCAGAGGGACTTGGAAATTGAATATTCAATTGGTGCTGTCATAGACTCCCCGCTCGTCCATTCTTGTTCATTAATATGGGTGGATTGCCAATAACAATATTTCAAGGCACAAGAGGGGCAACCTCTGCTCCGGGAGCGAGGGGTTAACGAGAAATAATGTATCAGGTATTAGAGCCGTAAATCTCCCTTTCCCTGGGTATAAGGCATGTGGGCCATAGAAGAAAATGAAATAACACATGAATAACATCATCTCCCACTCGCCATGTCATACCCAAGCTCTTTCCGAATGTACCCCCTCAATAGAGGCTCAGTCCTACTCCAATCCCACTATAAGAAAAGGATCCAGTTTCTGTGATTCTCAAAGAAAGTGACTTGCTATTAGCTTTTACCCATGATTTCTGGCTGAATATTTTCAAGGCGGCTCCACCATCTTTACACATGGAGTACATGCGTACTGTTATGGTATATTGTAAAATCATCACTAGTATTAGTAATTAATAGCATGATGCATATGCACCTGGTGCTAATGTATTTTTCTGAATTACATAGTGGAATTCCTAATGTTATCTGCTAGCTGGCAATGGCAACAATTTTAGTCAGGAATCCTTTAACATTATCAATACCCATAACATTTCTGCGAATACCGATTATGGCCGTTATAACTTACACAAATATCGCACAACACAATAAAAACATTCATAAAAGTAGTTACTGACATATTTGACTTGTTCACTGCGTTATCTGAAGAGCTCTTAAAGAGTTGCTTCCATCCTCAATGGACCGTTTATATCTTCTAAACAACTCAATGCAACCTCTTGGCCAGGACGTTCCCTCTCACGATTCCTTCTGTTTCCGGTTTCGTGACCAAAGGAGTGGTATCGATATGGAGAACTTTTTGAACACACGTTTCTCTTAAACCAGTCATAAAAAATCTGAAAATTTTACACATCGTCAATTTAATGGTCATCTTTTGAATGGTAACAATATAATTTGAAAAATATATATTCATCTACAATTGTATATTGTTTTGGAAAACACATCAGACACTTGTTTTGTTCTTGGTATCATGTTTCCAGAGTCAGTGAAATGAAACATCTTTCCGAACCTCATTGGAACTAAACGACATATACACACCATGTTTAGGTCTCTCAATATTGTAACTGTACAAAGGAAATTTGGGTTGATTTTAAAAAAGTATCTTGTTAATGAAATAAAAGGTTTATCTTGATTCTTATCTATTTTGGGGGATTTTGTTTTAATTTTTTGAATACTTTTTTAAAACCATTCCTTTGTATAACTATATTATTGAGAGGTCTAAAACATGTTGTATATGCTATTTTGTTTCAACAAGGTTCGGAAATACATTTTATTTCATTCTCAAAAATTGGTTATATAAAATACTTCTAAATAATTTTCGCATTAAATTGTTGTCAATCAGTCAACATTACATAAAATACCGTGTTTTTTACAGAATGTTTTCAATGATTGGTTTAAGAGAAAAACATTGTTGAATTGAGTTCACCATATCGATACCACTCCTTTAGCTAATCAGAATCAACCTAGTATTGATGTTTCGTTATTTTCGTTCTATATCTCAGGTGTTCCGGATAAATAAACACAAAACATGCATGGTGTAAAGCATCTTCACTATCAACATTTCTAAAGAGACATGGAACATGAAAGTTCCTGATATGAGAACAGAGCAGTCTGTTTAGATTAATCTAAACATCAGTCAAGCTAATTGTACGACAATTAGGTTAACCCATTGCAAAGTGTGCATACCATTACCAGATTGCTACTATTGAAATCTCATTTTTCAAGTGATATAAGATTATGCGTGCGATACATTCATTGCTTACACCAGACACAGACGAAGCCTGCAAAAACAGTGGATGTGGATAAATGATCGCATGGTCCATTTTTAGACAAAACTAGATATTATTGTAAAATTGTATGATTCCTAGATTGTCGAAAATATCCGCGTCATTTGTTTTGGATGGAACGATATCGCAGATACTACTTTATAGGTGCAAAAATTAATTGTAGTGAAATGATAAATTAACCACCAATACTATAAGGGATGAGAAAGTGTGAAAATGGCACTGTTTGTGCATGTGATGTGGTAAAGAGGTTCAATAAATATTGCGTTGCAGAGAATGTACCACGATTATTTTCACAATTTTCTTTCTATGAGGTTACACTACACATATATGGATATAATTGAAGATAAAAAATATAGTTTAAAAGTCAACACACATTCAAATTTAGAGATTCTTTTTATTAATTTCACCTTGATATTTGTATGTAACATTCTCTAAATAAATAAATAATAAAAAATAGTTTTTTATTGACTTAAATTGATCTGATTTGAATCTTGGTTTGATAAATCGGTTTTTATGAAGATATTTGTTGTTTACTTCATTTAGTTTTGATCATAAAATTATCTATTGGAGATGAATACATGAAATTCGTTTGATTAACTGTAATAGATAATACGCATATTAATAAAAGACAATATGAGGTATACTCCATCAAAAACCATCAAATCAAACATAATTCCGATTCCGAATATGATACACATGCAGCGAGGCATTTGCATAATC